GCCCCCCCCCCCCCCCCCCCCCCCCCCCAGGTTCCTGGGGACGGGCCACGGGACTGTAGCAGAGGCGTCCTCAGCTCACGATTTGGGCTTTCATTCAGGTGTCGGGTGACACATCGGAGACCGACCTGGACAGTGAGGCCGGGTCTCCTCGGGCCCGCGCAGGCGCCACCGAGGAGAAGGCGAGGAGCCGGTGGTTCGAGTTTGCCGCGGGGATGCGCGAGAAGGAGGCTTCCTCGGGAGACGACCCGGAGTCCGAGCCCAAGACAGAGTCCGAGAACCAGAAGGAAAGCCTGTCCTCTGAAGACAACAGCCAGGGCGTCCAGGAGGAGCTGAAGAAGGTGAGGGCCGCGGGGCCACCTGCGACAGCCCGGCCTCTGCGGCGGGGCCCGGGAACGGCTCTGCGTTCGCAGAGATGTGCGGGGTTTATTACACATGCTCATTTGTTAGGTGTGTGCTCCAGTTTCTTTCCACAACTCGGAGCCACCCTCTCTCATCAAATCCCTCTTCGGGGACACGCGTCTGTTGGTGGGGGACATATTTTGACGGGGTGTAGAGGCATTGCCGGGGCGCCTTATGTCTCATGAGAACTGAAACATATTTGCATCGAGTTTTTCTAGCAGATTTCTCTCAGCCATTTAGGACATAGGGAGTTCTTTTCTTACCTTTAAAAAGGAAAGAAATACGTGAAATCGGGGCATTTGGACACATGTCCCTGCTTGCTCTGGAAGTTTGCTAGAAACCTTTCCTGGAGCTGAGACAGCATCTGTGACCTGGGGCAGCAAAGTGATGGGCAGACGGGCATCTGGGTCACACTTAGAGCAGAATTCCCCGGAGGCCACATTCCGTTGCTCTGATCGTCCTTGGCTGCTCGGTCCCCAGTGGGCTCAGCCAGGCTCAGAGCAGGAGCCTGTGGCTCGGTGGGTCTCAGCTACGTGGTGTGGCTTGGGCACTGGTGTGGCTCGATCGCTGCCATTTTCACTGCAGTGTCTGTGGGGCCCTTGGCCGCAGATGTCTTTGGCTAACCTTCCTGGTCTGCAGCAGCCCCTTGTTCCGTCCGCTGGGTTTCTCCACACTTTCCCCTCTCCCTTATGAGGTACCGTGACACTGTCCCATCTGATCCCTGTTGTAATTAATATCTGGAGTGACGGCAGCTCCTGGAACAGAAAGCTCTCCCCGGCTCTGAGCTGGTTTGTGCCATTCAGCTCGCGTCTCCGGGGCTGTGAGCGGCCGAGCAGAAAGGATCCTTAGCTTTTCATTTCTCCCCCACGCAGGGCTCCCTGCCAGCACCCTGCGCCTCCACCAGCGTTTTATCTGAACAAAACCCTGTCCGGTGCTGCACGCAGCTCCATGTACCACGTCGACAGTGCGTTCTGCCTTTAACTCTGGGCAGGGGACAGGGCATTTACATAACAAGGCCGTGTCGGCCCGGCCCTGTAAGATCTGCTCACCTCTCTTACTGGGCCGGTGAGTCCACGAAGGAACAGGGAGGCTGGGTGCCCTGCTCCTGTCACTCAGCTGACAAAACCCCAGCGACCTTTCCTCCCAGCCCCACCCCCACATCCGAGCAAACAGCCCACTCCCGGGCAGCAGACCAGAAGCACGCGAGTCCCCGTGGGCTCCAGATTGTGTTTCCCATTAGAGAGCAAAACCGGGACACCCACCGCACAGATGGATCTTGTCCAGTTTCCATGGAGTTATTTTTCAGTCACTTCCCCTTTCACCAGACACAGGCCTTCCGGCGAAGCTGTGGTGCTCCGTACAGACCAACCACATGGGACTCCTCACTCAACTCAGTGGCAAATGCAGATGCCTTTATGGGCCAGGGAAGTATGTCATGTCATCAAGCGGCTAGGGCGGGGCTCAAGGCGTGCCAGGAGGGCAGGGCCTCTATCCAATGTCCACTGCTTATCCCAGCACCTAGGACAGAGCCTGTGCACCGAGGGGGGGCCCCCAATCAAATATGTAGAGTGAATGGTGGGGACTGCAGACAAGCTGGAAGCGCAGATCTCACAGATGGCTCCCTTATCCAAAACGCATGCCTCTGGGCCATGTCTGGCTGTCAACTCCTAGGCTTGAATAAACAAGGTTATTTACGGATGGGTTGGAACAATGACGCCCAAGCGACATCGATGTCCAGCTTATTGCTTTGATATTATACGTTCAGCTGGGCTCAGGATGCAGATCACTCTTTTGGTTCAAGCGCCGTTTAGGTCCTTTCTGTTCATAACCTTGGCTTGTTAATGACCCTGGACACGTGGGAGATGGGCATAAACGTTCACACTTCCCCTTCCATCATGCTGTGGTCTCACTTTTTTCCCCTGAACCTCTTAGTCATATGTCTTGCTTTTCAAAAGATATACAAGGGCAAGGGAGGCTGGGAAATGGCGTATTTTTCCGTTCGGCCTCTATGGTGGAAGAAGGCAAAGGAAAGCGGGCCAGAGGATAGGTGAGGTGTGTGGGGGTTACCTCACGGTGGCTGCCAAGACCCTGCAGAGAAGCTCTTCTCCAATACTCTCATTGTACAGATGACCAAACCGAGTTCCAGAAATGGGATGTAACTCGGGCAAGGTCCTAAAACCAGATGAAGTTAGAGCCGGATCTACAGCCTAGGTCTCCTAACTCCCAGTCCAGAAAGCTGCCCACTGGGCCACCCCATGTTTGTAATTTGGCTGAGTCTGTGACGGAAGCTCTGTTAAGGAATTAGAATATCATCCATAAAATGAGGGGATGGATGCCCGGCCGGGCGTGGCTCAGCGGTTGAGCATTGACCTAGGATCCAGGCGATCGGGGTTCAATTCCTGATCAGGGCATGTGCCCGGGTTGCGGGCTGCAGCCAATCAGTGGCTCTCTCATCACTGATGTTTCTATCTCTCTCTCCCTCCCCTTCCCTCTCTCTGAAATCAATAAAGATATATTTTAAATTAAAAAAAATTTAAAAATAAAAAAATAAATAAAAAATGAGGGGATGGATATAAAACTCTCAGCAGTGGGCAGAGGACATGGTAGCTTCCACTTGAGGTTTCCTTCCTCCCTCCCTAAGAATCTGAGATAATCCAGTGTGATAATCCAGAAGCGAGGCCAAGTCAAACCAGGCCTCCTCCGAGTTCCCCCCTGCTGTGTAGATTGTTCAGCTTCCCGGCCCTTTGGCACATGGGTGTCTGTGTGTGTTGTAATGGAAGCAATGTCACGAGTGCCACGCTAATGCAGAATTCCCATGTGATCGTTAATGTGCTGTTCTTGTCTTCTGTCTCCTTCTGTTATTGGACCAAACAGAAGTATTCTGCTGTTTCTCTCTGCAACATCTCCACAGAAGTCCTGAAAGTCATCAATGCCACAGAGGAGTTGATCGCAGAGTCGACAGGGCCCGGGGAGTTCCCGCCTGTCCCTCCTGACAGAGAGAAGGGGACATTTCCTCTTGGGACAGACCAAGTGAGACTGGATGAGCAGCTGACCTCCCTGGAAGAAAACGTAAGACGGTGTGGATGTGCCTTGTCTAGGGCGAGCCGGTGAAGTTATAGCTCATGACAAAGAGGGCAGGGACACACACACACACAGCAGCAGCAGAGCAAATGCATTCTCAGCAAGCGTCTGGGGCTGGAGTCCCAAGAAGTGGCTCCTGAGAGCAGGATTTCCGTGCAAGCGATTCACCAGGGAAGTGCTCCCAGGGTCCGCTCATAAGGGGGTGGGGAAAAGAAAGGGAGAGGGAAGAAGCCACACAAAGGCGTGATCTTGGACAAACATAGCTCCCACCTGCTCCTGCAGGGAACGCTGGGGCATAAGTTACATCTCAAAGTTGTCTGGCCTGACGCAAAGGAGCTGGCCCTTCCTCCAGCCAGCAGGCTGTCTGTCTGTCTGCTTGCAGGCAAGGTGTCTACAGCAGCCCAGAGGCGCCTTCTGTGTAGAGCTGAGCTGTTGGAAACAAAAGCACACTGAAGCTTTTGTTTCTCACCTGGGGGTGAGGGGCCCGGGTGGGACTGTGCAGAGGCTCTAAAAGGATGTGTGAGGGCCCGGGTAGGGCATGGCCAGCACCACCGCAGGGGATGAGCGTGGTTCCCACAGAATTTAGGTCACTGCAGCTGGTCCAGCCTGCTTCGCAGCTAAGTCTGCTGGTGATAGAGTTTTCTGTCCTTCCGACCTGTGAGGACAGAAAGAATGTGATAGATTCTTACCTGTAAATAACCACAGTCATTGCTGAGTATTTCAATAAAAATCCAATGAGAATTTTCCAGCAATGCAGACTAGGGGTGACCAGAGATTTGGACATGAGCTACTCAGGCCGGAGTCACCCTCACCAGCGGGCATAGTCCTGCCCACAAAACGGGTGTCAGATCAAGTCAGCTGATTCCATCTTTGCAGACCCAGCGGAATGAACCCAGGTTTGGGGGCACTCTAATGAATGCTGCTCTTAGAGGAAATTTTTGGCTAACCATTGAAACAACAAATCAAAAATAACTCAAAGTTTTACTAAAAAAGCGAATGTTTGTTTCACTTTAAAAACTGAAGACCTCCCTTTGGATTCCCGTAAAACCGAAGCATGTGTCTGTCGGAGCACTTGCCTCACTCTGCTGTCCTTCTGGTCACCCATCCGTCTGCCCTTTGATCGGCACCACTGACATTTGGGGTTGGACGATTCTTTGTTGGAAGGGGCTGTCCTGCACGTCGTAGGATATTTAGCAGCATCCTGGTCTCTCTCCATGAGATGCCAGGAGCAGCACCCTCTTAGCTGTGACAGGAAAAGTCTCCAGACATTGTCAAATGTTGGACGGCTGATGTGGGGAGGTAGGGGGCACAGTCACCCCCAGGTTGGGAGCCAGATACATAAATTCCTACGGCACGGGGCCTGCTGTCTATATCTGTAGCCCTAGCCCTTGGCCACAGCCCGACACACAGGAGGGGCCAGAAGAATGCTTATCTGACGTATGATCACAGCAGATGGATGGAGTCCTTTGGTAAAGAAACGATTTACGTCTAATGTGCAGGGTCTCTGTTCCTTCGCTGGGTCTATAGTTTAGTTCTTTCAGTGCTGACCGTCCTAAAATGAACCCCAACCCTAGACGCACTGAATTGAAAAGTTTAAAATAAAGATGCGGTTCACCAGGAAAGGGATTTTTTTTTTTTTTTACAAAGTATAGTATCAAAAAAACACACAAACTTACAAAGCGCAAAATATCAGGATATAGAGGATAACAGGCGGTCCCCGAGGCGCACTTAAAGGCGGCGGCCTTCCTCAAGGGAGCACGGGCCCGGTGAAGGGTGTCTCTGTGGAGTCTCGTTTCATAAGAGCTTTTCGGGCGTTACCTTTCTTCCCTTGGGTTTCTTGACACTTTCAGTGTGAAAGACGTCCACTCACCCCGACTCAGGATGTCACCCATCCCAGCAGGGACACATGCGGAAAGGCCAGGGTTTGTCATTTACTGCTCCCCTGTCCCCCTCTAAGCTGTGTCTCCCGCCCCCAAAGAGTTAACTGCCTCCTTCCCTCCCCCATCCGGCTCTAAGTTTCACCTCAGAAGCGACTCCATCCGTCTCTGATCCTTTGCATCTGATGGGGTTTGAGTCAGAGGAGGGATGGCTCTTCTTTATCTCTTTAGTTCCCCAGATCACAGGGCCAGGGCCCGCTGCTGCTCCGCCGGCTCCAGATGGGCTTCACTGGGGCGCGGGAGAGGGGCAGGGCTGGCTCTCCAGCCGGGCCCTGGCGCGGCCGATTTCATTAAACGCAGCCTTTTGTGTCTCTTCTAAAGAGCGCCCCTCGCGCCTCCGCCGCTTTCCCCTTTGTGTCGGGGACCGGGGGACGGTCGGAAATAGAAACGGCGACCCATTCTCGCCTTCTGAACGTCGGCTACCGCGGAGCAGGACTCCGAGATGAAAGAGATCGTCGGCTTGAGGATGTCGCGCCTTTCAAAATACTTCTGAGGGCGTCCGAGCTGCTTCAGATAAAAATGTCACATTCAGATGTCCCGTCTCCTGTTTTCATCAACTGCCTCGTTAATCCATTTAATTAGAGGAAGGCATGGGGATTTCCGAATCGCCTTGGTCTCTCGGCGTTGACCCCTCTCGCCTGCTGCTGGAGCCAGCCCTGGGAAATCAGCTTTTTCTCCCCAAAAGGCAGGAGGAAGCTCGGGCCAGCCCCGGGCTCCCCGCGCACACAAAGGGGCCTCGGCTTCGCGGGCGGGGTGCCTGGGCCTCGGTCCTCCTGTCGGGGTCTGGCTGGGAGAGGGGGGTTCCGGGGAAGGGCCAGTAGCTGAGGCGTGGGCAAGGTTAAGGGGTGCTGTAGCACCCGAGAGCAGCAGGAGGAGGTGCTTCCTGAAACACCTGTTCTCATCCCTTGAGCCATTTGGGGAAAGACTCGTTGAACCAGGAGCCGGTCAGTGGGGCCACTAGAGCGTGGAGAAGACATAGACAGCCCGGACCTGGCAGCCATAGCTCTCCCCCAAAACGGGCCTTTACTAAGCAAGCAACCCCAGGTTCATGTTTTTCAGTGGGTTATTTTTTTAAGGTTAGAATGACATTGTCATTCTACAGCATGTCAAGTTTTGTTTCCTCGGCCCGTCAACAGAGCCAGCGTCACGTCGACCTATAACCACAGTAACTCTAGTCCCTTGGCATCAAAGTTGGAAATGTAAAAGTTGTAACATCCCAGCCAAGATGAAGAACCACAGCGTCACAGGGCAGAGTGGACGAAGGCATGGGGTCCGGCATGGGGGCCCGAGCTCAAAACCAGGCTCCACCACTTCATAGCTGTGAAACCTGGAGAAGTCCCTGAACCCCTAGGACACACGGTCTCATCTCTAGTACCATGACCAGACTAGTACCTCCCTCAAGGGTTGCCCTAAGCATTAAATAAGTCACCTAAAGCCCTTGGTTCAGTGCCTGGCTCAATAAATACGTGTCATTGTCACCATCATCATCACCATCCTTGTCACCCTCCAGTCCTTCAGGCGCCACCTCCTCGGCTGTGAGTGTCGGTACAGCCGGCTTCTGTGCCAAACCTCAGGACCTCTCCTGGTGCCAGGAGAGCAGGGACACAGAGTATGAGATGAACCTTGTGGCCCGGCTGAGGGCTTGGGGCGCTTTCATGTTGCTTTGTCGTGGCAGAGAAGACAGCGAGCATGTGGATGACCATGTGGACAACGCAACCAAGTTCTGTTCCATTGACCTGGCTGTGGGCGTGCTGACGCTGAGTTCTGCGTGTTTCTGGAATAATGAAGGTTCTGAGACCAAAGTCACGTCCGCTTGTGTTTCACCATTGCCACACTCAGATTATACATTTTATTTAAACAATGATTTCCCATTCTGTTCGTTGTGCAAAACTGTCCATTTATATTTTAAATTACCTTATCTAAGTAAACTTGCCTTTTTCCGGCGCCGCTAAAGTGTCACATCCAAACTCGCACACTCAGAGCTGCCCTGCCATCGCTCTCTTCTTCCCTGGGAAGTTCTTCAGCTTTGAAACTGTGAAGAGACAGATGTTTAATTTCTCCGCTCGGCTTCGAACTACGTGCTTCCTTCATAGGACACAGTTGTGTGTCTTGTTGTGAAGACAAAGACCAATGGCTCTATTAAACTGCGAGGACCACTTAGAAACAAGGTCTCTAATACTTCACCTGATAAAGAGACAGAACAAAGGGCAAACTCAACTCTGGCCCTTGCCAGCGGGCATTGGATGCACGGCCCTTCCCTGACACCCGGGCCCGCCCTGCGGAGCCCCCAGCCGGCCCACTGTGCTGCTCCCGGGCAGCCGGGCTCGCACTTCAGACCTACACCGGCCCGTGCTCCACGTGGAGATGTCTTGTAAAGCTGCCAGTTTCAATGCAGATGCGTGAGTCATGCCAAAGAATTGGCAGAGGGGGGGCATCTCAGGGCCTCCCCCCATTCAGCCCCGCTTGTGGGCATAAGCGCCTGGCTTGCCCAACTCAGTTGTGCTTTTAACTCAAGTTACAGGAACTGTTCGAGGACTGGCCGTGCCTTCCATTCAGATCAACTCTAAACGGCTGTGATGACGTGTCCGGAGCTCTGCCTGTGTCAGTGAAACCTCCCGAGCCTCTCTTCCAGGAATTCTCTCTTTAGGCACATCTGGTTCTGTGCTCTCGGTGGTTTCACCCCATTACCAGTCAGGCCGAAGAAGCGTCTGTCTCACTCAGCCCGCCTGGCCTCCCCCGTCTGAATTATTCCAACAAGTTTACTTTCTGTTTGCCCATTTTTATGGAATCATCTTATAAACTCATACGTCAAAATATTTTTTCCAGCCAGGCTGGGCGTGGCTCAGCGGAGGAGTACCGACCTAGGATCCAGGAGATCCAGGTTTGATTCCCGGTCAGGGCATGTGCCCGGGTTGCGGGCTCGATCTCCAGTCGAGGGCGTTCAGGAAGCAGCCAATCAATGACTCTCTCATCACTGATGTTTCTGTCTCTCCCCTTCTTCCTTCCTCCCTCTGAAATCAATAAAGATATATTTTAAAAAGAATAATAATAATTCTTTTAAAAAAAATTTTTTTTTTCCTTTAAATTTTTCCTCAAATTATTCCCTTTATCTGGTTTTCTCTTTAATCTTCAGTAGCTCACCAAAAAAACAAACCTCTTAATTAACAGGTAAATGGATTCGACATGCTTTTCTTAACAGCATACTATTTTCTCAGAAATAAAGTCTTTTCCTACTATAATTTCAGGTTCATTTCATTCCCTTAGCCTGTTGCAAGAAAGCAGAAGGTAATTAATCAAAGATAAATCATTCAAAATGTGTGATTGTTTAAAATTAATTTCACCTGTTTTGTGTTGTCTGAATTTTTCTCAATTACAAAATGCCAACCAAAAATTTTATTTGGAAAGTCACACCAAGAGTTTTTCCTTTTTCCTTCTGTCTTGCTAGTATGATTGTTATAGTCACTGGACAAATTCACAGTTTATGTGGCTGGTGTCATGTATTTTGTACTATTTTATCACATTTACAGATTGCTTTTTCTCGCGGGAAAGTGCAGGGAGGGAGTTTGACAGTGAGGGGGTGGCAAGAGCTCAGGCCGTTTCAGTGCGTAGTGTTTATATGGGGGCCGTCCCCTGTCCTTTCCCCCAATGCTGGGTCTAGTTCTCTCTCACCCCCTGAACTGCCGGGGTCCCCTGAAGAGGCCCCGCCAGTCCTGGGTCTGCAGGCCGGAGCTCAAGGCTGTGCCTCCTCTACAGGTGTACCTGGCGGCTGGCACTGTGTACGGACTCGAAGGGCAGCTGAATGAGCTGGAGGATGCTGCCCGCTGCATCCACAGTGGCACCGATGAGACCCAGCTGGCAGATCTGGAGGACCAGGTGGCCACAGCTGCAGCCCAGGTCCACCATGCTGAGCTCCAGGTAAGAGCTCTCCTCTCTGCCCAGATGGGAGACCACCAGGCAAAAGGAGAGGGGGCCCCAGCTTCCACAAGAACCACTTCGAAGCCTTTGCGTCTGTCAGGTCCTGCATGTCCAGCTCACCTGGCGTGGATATGAGCCTTCAGGGCGGATTCCACCAAATCCCCCTTTCTAAAAGTGGAGCCTTCCAGCCCAGCCAGCATGGTTCAGTGGTTGAGTGTCGACCTGCGAACCAGGAGCTCACAGTTTGATTCCCTGTCAGGGCACGTGTGGGCTCCATCCCCAGCAGGGGGCGTGCAGGAGGCAGCACATCAGTGACTCTCCTCGTTGCTGTTTCTAGCTCTCTTTCCTGCTCCCTTCCTCTCTCTGAAATCAATAATAACATATTAAAATAAAGTGCAGCCTTCCGTTCCCCAGACTACAGCCTTGATAACATATCAGACTTCTCTTTAAACCCTATGTCACTTTTCTCTTTGACAAATCTCTGACCTACAGGCAGGTCTCCTTGCTTATAGGTTCCCATCCCACCCCAAGACCACCCGTCCCTAACTGCTCTCATACTCTCGGCTACTTCTCTAATTAATGCCTGTCCTCCCCGCTACGGACTAAAAGCTCCGTGAGGACCGGACTGCAGCTCTCCGGCCTCAACACAGTAACTCTAGTGCCTCGCACAGTACCTGACACAGGTTTGCCACTCAGTATAAACGGGAAATAAAAGTGGGATGGATAAATGAAAATTGGAAGTGTAGATTTCTCAGACCAATATTTTGCATGACTGAGACTGCTGTTTCAGAACTGATCACTGTATTATCTATAACTTTGGGATGATGTCTGTTGGCAGTTTTCATGGCTGTTCCCTTGGCCTCTGACTCTGGATGAGAACTGACCATGGACTAAGCCACTGGTTATCAAATGGGGGTCCATGGACATCTACTCGGGACCCATGAGAAATGCTGGTGTCTGCAGCATACGCTCAGAGCCCTGGCTCACTGATATGTCTACAGACCCTTCTTCGTAAACCCCCAGTTTGGGGTCTATAGACACACCTCTGGCTAGAGCTGACAGTATTGGGTGATCATTCTTTTTAAAATACATACTTTTATTTTAAAGGGTCAAATATCATTACACATGCTTAATAATGCAGCGGCCCCAATTAACTCTCCACTCTGCAGATGGATTCAATGCAGTGTGCTAGGGATGGGCTCGTCACAGATGGCCCTGTTGACAATTTATTGTCAGCAAGATTGGCTGAGGAGCAGTTCTCCTCAAATAAAAATCACTTCCCATAAATGCCACAACATTTAATCATTTCAGAGTCAAAGTTACATAAAGATATAAAGGAAAATCAAAGCATTTATTTTCTGGGTGGTACATTTTGCAGCAAACACTTCTTGAATGGTTTAGTGGGAAGAAATATTATTTATGGGTGTTTGGGAAGGTTTTATTGTAATAATTAGTTATTCCTGCTTCCAAATTTTCCTAGGCTTAGATTATTGGAGCCACAGATTATTATTTTATGGCAGAAAATCCTGGAGTCCACAATGTCTATTTTTCAATATTTGTGCCTATTAATTTATTATTCATTTTTAAATTTTACAATGATGTTATTAATAGCCAATGTTATAGAGTGAGCCTTACTCGGTGCCAGGAGCTGTACTGAGGATGCTGCCCACTGCGTTAGATGTTGTGGGCATTCCTGGGGACAGTCTGTTTTAACTCTTAGTGTCGGGAAAAGTGATTCTTCTCAGACTTGATCTTTATCTCATGGACATGGACCCCTACACTCACCTCTTTGCTTTGGCTCCCAGGAAACTCAGAGCTGAATTGGTCATCCTCTTCTGATAAGCGTAAGGGTCATTGGGCATGCAGCCTTAGGAATAAAGTAGAATATAACTAGATGGATGGATGGATGGATGGATGGATGATGGATAGATGATGGATGGTTGGATGATGGATGGATGATGGGTGATGGATGGATGGATGGATGGATGGATGGATGGATAGATGGTAGATGGATGGATGATGGATAGATGGATGGGTGGGTGGATGGATGGATGGATAGATGGATGGATGGTAGATGGATGGATGATGGATAGGTGATGGATGGTTAGATGATGGATGGATGGATGGATGGATGGATGGATGGATGGATGAATGGATGGATGGATGGATGATGGATGGATGATGGATGGTTAGATGATGGATGGATGGATGGATGGATGGATGGATGGATGGATGGTGGATGGATGATGGATGGTTAGATAATGGGTGGATGATGGATGGATGGATGGATGGATGGATGGATGGATGGATGGATGGTGGATGGATGGATGATGGATGGTTAGATGATGGATGGATGGATGATGGATGGATGCCTGGATGGCTGATGGATGGATGGATAGATGATAGACAAAACATATGCCAAAATCAGCCCTGAATAGTCTTCTTTCCTCCCTTTGTCCTTTGCCCAATGGACTAAAACCTGAAAAATTAACCCCTTCTTATTGCAGAACATGGTGGTCAGCAAGTCAGGAGGCCAGCAGTTTGCTCTCCCATTGGGCTGTCTCCTAGGGCCCTCTGAGTAAGGCCCTTTATCAAAATTGCTCCCAGAAAAGATTGTGGGCATCTAATCCACATCAGTTGCAAATGACTAATAAAAGTTTAGCCTACATCCTTTCTCAGAGGCTTGCGCAGTTTATTGGACTATAAACCAAAGGAATGCAGCTCTCAGTGTGAAATGTGAGGAGTCAGACAGGAAGGCTTCTGGGAGCCAGGAGCCAAGGCTTCTGGGGCCCCGCCTGGTGGCCGGCTGCTGGGCAGCGATTCTTGCATTCTTCCACCAGCTGCCACAGGCTTGGCCTTCACCTGCTGCCTCCCCTTTTTCTGACCAAGGCAGCCACTCCTCGGAGGTAGGGGAAGCATCTCCCACACTTGCTGACATTTTCAGCCCTTCTCTATGCACTTCTTATAGCACGTACCCCAGTAGGCTTTGTCCAAAGAAGGCCTCAGGAGATGACAGCAGATTTAGAGTTTGTCTTGAGAGGCACAAAACAGTTGAGGGATGGGAGAGGCAATGGAGGCCTCGAGGTGGAGCGCACACATTGCCTGCTGGGCCTACGTTCAGGTTGCTTGTTTTGTGCCCAGCACCACTCAGTGTGTGCCATGTCAGCAGGACAATGCCAATCCCCACCTCCTCCCTCCATTCTGCCAGTCCTCTCCTGCCCCTTCCAGTGTCCCCCATGCCAGCCTTGGCAAGTCCTCTGAGAATGTGGCAATGTGGCAAGAGCAGAAACACTGGCATCGATTCCAACCCGGGCATGTACCTTGACCAAGAATCAAACTGGCAACCTCTCGGTGCATGAGATGTTGCCCAACTGAGCCACGCCAGCCAGGGCAAAGTAGATTTGGTCTTTATGGATTTCTAACACTTTTAACAAAGATTCTCCCCGCCTGTGCTTTCTCCCTACTGATTCCGTCTCTCTGCTACATTCAGATTTCGGACATCGAGAGCCGGATTTCAGCCCTGACCATTGCAGGACTGAACATAGCGCCCTGTGTGCGCCTCATGAGGAAACGAGATCAGAAGCAAAGGAACCAGGTGCGTTTGTCCCTCACTCCTGCCCTGGGAATTTTGCACAGCCTGGAAAATCTAGAAGATAAAATCTGGGGGCTTTGAGAAGGTGTATTGAGTGCTGTGTTCTCTTTGTAGGTACAAACTATAGACACATCGAGACAACAGAGGCGGAAGCTGCCCGCTCCACCAGTGAAAGGTACGCTGACGTTAAAACCGCACCGCTACTTCCGGTAACTCGGAATGCGAGTTTGAGGACCACACCCAATGGGGGTTCTCACCAGGAGTGGCCTCCTGGAGAGTCTGTCTCGACTTGGATCCCCCAAAAGGCAGACCCTGAGGGAAAGATGTGAGTGCAAGTAGTTTACTTGGGAGGTGATTCCCATCAGCACAGGTACGGGAGGAGAGAAATGACCCAGCGAAGAAAGTTGGGCCCACACAAGGTACTAAATACTGCGGGGCGCGTCTGGGAGACAGTGTTGCCTGCGCCTCAGGGTTTCTTGCCCAAAGAGTAGGAAGATGAGGCATTTCAACTCCCCCCATCACTGGCCGACGGGCACTCCCGTGGGCGTTAGCTCCCTGGCAGTCCCGACCTGCCCATGCGCGGGCGGCGGGCGGCGGAGCTTGCCGCGGGATGCCGCGAGGGGCGCAGGAACAGCCAGTCAGGGAGATGTGGCGGGGCCCCAGAAGCATCTGACCTGGAAGGGGCGCCAGCGATGCCAGTTCTGTCACCCTTACCCTGGACGTGTTCAACAGTTTCTCGGGATTCAGGGCCACATAATGATGATGCCAAACTAGAAATTTGAATCTACAGATTAGCAGAGCAGGAGGTCAGAAGATACATGTCTAAATCTTGGTCCCACCATTCACTGTTCGACAGACAGCTGTTGAAGGTCTGCTTTATATCCCACAAAAACGTATACAATTAAAATTTATTATAGATCCATGATACTTTATGTGAAACCCTTAGGTCAACGTGTTTCAGAATTTTTTAGACATTAGGGGAGAGGGGGTTGCAGGGCTGGGTGGAAAAAGGTGAAGGAATTAAGCAGTACAAATTGGAAGCTACGGAATAGTCACAGAGATGTAGAGTACAGCATAGGGAACATGGTCAGAAATATTGAGATAGATAAATATGGGGCCAGGTGGGTACTTGAAACATAAGGGAACACTCTGTAAAGTACATGATTTTCTAACCACTATGCTGTACATCTGGAACTAATACAGAATAATATTGCGCGTAAAGTGTAATTGAAAAACAAAAAAGAAAGGTGATATGGTGTTTGTCCTGTGTATTTTATTTTATTTTTAAATTTTTTTTATTGTTCCAAATATTACAGATGTCCCCTTTTCTCCCCATTGATCCCCTCCACCCTGCACCCACCCCCTCCCCAGGCCTTCTCCACACCGTTGTGTGTGCCCGTGGGTTGTGCATATATGCATTTAAATTCTTTGGTTAATCTCTCCCCACCCACTCAGCCCCACCTCCCCTCTGAGATCCCTCAGTCTTCCATGCTTCTGTGTCTCTGAATCTATTCTGTTCATCATTTTCTTTTGTTCATGGTCCTCCTCAATCATTGTCTTCTTTATTTTGAACCCGTCGACCTTGTCTAGATTGTTCTCCAGACTTCTCTTCATCATCTCTAATTTGTTTCCTCAAGTCTTTGCATGAAGCCCAGGACTGAAGATATATTATCTATTCCTTGGAGTGCATCTCACTGGTTGGGGCCATTGTCCATACATGCTAACCATGCATTTAGTGGGGTCCCCTGCTCAGCATGCCTTCCTTTTCTGGCCTTCCCAGTATTCTTCAGAATTTACTCATGTTCCTCATTTTATCCTGATATGTGGACGCATGACCCATGCTTTTTATTTTCATATTCAGAGTGATTTGCCTTCTCAAATTGAATTTTTAATCTTGCACACTGCTAAATCCATGTCACTTTTGTATGTGTTTTCTGTATCCTGCCCTCCTGCCACCCTTTAGCTTGCCATGTTGCATGTGTGCTTAGAAACCTGTACTGACTTTGAATAGTTTTTCTTAATTCTTCCTAATTTATGACAAATAATATTATTTTATGAGAAACAAAAATGAGCACTTAAAGATCTCTACTTGCCAAAAAGATATCATATAAGAAGTTTATAGTTAAAGAATTATTACATTTTTAAAATTTCATTCAATGTTAGGACTCTACAGCTTCTCATCTAGAGTTAAATGACTTTCTATTTTATCCCTAATAGGTAGTTATTTAAACCACTTGGTTGCAAGGGAAAGACATCCAACTAAAACCGGCATCAGAAAAGAGGCAAATGTATTATAAGGATATTGGAGAATTTCCTGGGAGTGAAAAGCAGGACAATAACTGGGCCTAAGGGAGAAGTGGTTCNCCCCTCGCCACACCACTGTCTGTGTCCGTGGGTTATGCGTACATGCACGTAAGCTCTTTGGTTAATCCCTCCCCACCCACCCCCACCTTCCCTCTGAGATCCGTCAGTCTGATCCCTGCTTCCATGTCGCTGAATCTATTTAGTTCATCAGTTCATTAAGTTCTTTAGATTCCACATGTAGGTGAGATCATGTGGTGTTGGTCTCCCTCTGCCTGGCTTATTTCGCTTTAGCATATTACTCTCCAGGTCCCTCCGTGCTGTCCCAAAGGGTATGTACTGTGTACTTGAGAACAGCCCCCCATGGGTCTGGGCAGCACTGATAAACACAGCATCCTCCTTGCAGGACAGACGAGAAGGTTCACAGTCGGTGGGCGGGACAAGGGCTTTAAGTGGCCGCACGTCAGTTCAAGTCACATCTCACCATCAGACGGTTTTGGCTCCAAAGTTATAAATATGTGCAATTCTTAGAGCCTTTTATATATCCGAATGGCAAATAAGAATTTATGAACTACTTCGGATTACCCACAAGCTGCCTTTTCCCGGGAAGCTACTTAATGATGCCTTCTCTGGTTCGTTATTAAAAATAAACACAAAATAAAGGCTCAGTCAGACCCTGGACCAGAACGAGATCCCACGTCTGGGACAAACCCCCGGGTAAGCTGGACACCTGGTGTCTCTTCCGTAACAACCGTCCAGCCTCTAGTGACTCTTATTCTCGTTTGTTTCTTTTTAGCGGAGAAAACGGAGGCCTCTCTGGTGACTGCCACTAAAACATTCAACCGCAACTTCATTCTCCAGGGCTCCTCCACAAACAGGACTCGGGACAGGAAAAGCACCACCAAGGGCTTGATGGTAAATGTCACCTCTGTCCCGATGCCCATCACCTTCCCTGCAGACGGCACCTCCGTTCTGTAGCCCTTCTGTCTGTGGCTTCCCTGGCGGAGCCCCCAGGTGCACCCTTTCTGCATGGCCTCGTGTCTGGTGGTGGGTGGTGGGGACCTAAGAGAGGTGACAAGCACCCGGCCTGGTATGGCCGACCTCTTGATATCTGGATACATCCTCTCAACTGCGTCTCCGCCTCTGTGGAGAAACCAATTTTGATATAAAAGAAATAAAGATGCAGACAGAAGAGTGCAGGGGCGGGCTGAGGCGGAGGAGTTTTATGCTGTGTTTCAGCCACACCCGGTCTCCCGTAAATCCCCTGTGGTCCTGAGAAAAGTCAGCAGCTGCCCCTCAGGGAGGCAAAGAAACAAGGACAGATGTAACCTGCCGCCTTTTATGCCTCGCCCGTCACTGCCTTCCCCGCGGTCCCTCGTTGCCCCCATCTCCTGAGCACAAAGCTCCGGGCAGTGGCACAGTGCGGTCCACCGCATGCCTTCGGCCCGTGCGGCCTGCGGCCCGTCGCCCTTCCTTCCCGGGCCAGCGTTACCCCTGACCTTTCAGAGCCCAGTTACGTCGCTCTGGCCGGCCCTTCAAAGAGCCAAAAGAGTCATTGTTATGCTAACAGAGCAGACGGCTCTGTTATAACAGGGAGGGAGCCTGTTATAAATCGGGTAGTTAAAAAGGAATTAGCGCTCACGGGCTGGGAGGCAGGCCGGGGGCTGCCGGGGGCTGCGGGGCAGGGACAGGAGGTAACCGCTCAGTGGGTGGGAGGCTTTGCTTTACAGCAACGGGAACCTTCTGAAGCCACAGAGGCGGTGGCTGCACCGCTGCGAACACCCTAAGTGCCACTGGGCTGTCCACTCTCAAATGTTCATTTTATGTTATGTGCATTTCACCTTCATACATTATTTTTAAGAGTAAATTACCTTTAAATAACCCAGAGGGGTTAAAAGTGAAAATATGGACAATTTTACTAAAGAAACGCAGACAAAAAAGAAGACACAGCTGTTACTTTCAGACGCAGTAGGAGTCAGGACACGAAGCGTTGGGGAGGAGAGGGAGGGCGCGTTCCTTCTGGTGACGGGAAGTAGGCAGCTCCCGAGCCTCCCTTGCTCTGGCACACGGTAGAGCAAGACAGCTGGTGACTTCAGGCTTCCCTTAGTTACGATACTTACCTGGCTTTACGCTTCACGAAGGATTCACGTCCTTTCCAATAAATTTCAGGTGGCTTAAGATGCGCATGTAAAAAACTGCATCACTTTTTAAATATTGTGAACGATTTAACGGGTCGATGAGCATGAACACCTTTTATGGCATGAAAGGCAGAGCTGCTTTCACCGCCTCCCCGCACTTCTGCCACCTGCTGACAGTGTGCTCGTTCCCGCTCAGGAGCCCACTCGGGAGCCCGCCGTGATGTATTAGCGCCACGGAGCTCCACTGCCAGTGACCCACTGCCTCCGGCCGTACACAGTGCCTTGACCCAACAGCCATCGGAGACTACATGGATCTTCACCCGAGGAGGGGCCTGGGGAGCCGCAGTGCACAGGGCTGTCCCGATACCTCACCCAGAGAGCGGGCCAGGCTTCGGCACCCCGGTCTCCCTGCTCTCTGCCTTAGGCTCCCAGGAGAAGCCAAGACAGAAAACCACGATGCCGGCTTCCAACAGCAGAGCTCCACGTCCCGCGATGCATCGTGTCCCTGTTTGCTTTGCTACTGTCTCGTCTCTGTGACCCTTCTTCTTCGATCCCTTTGATTTGACTAGAATTCCGTATCAACGACTTGTCC